ATTGAAAGGAAGTTCAAACTCATCCAAAATAACGCGTTAAAATGAATTTTCTCAAATCGTTTTTTAAAACAAAAACGATGTTTCCTTTCAAACGCGTTTAAACACTTTTATTAAAACGCGTTTTCAAACAAAAAAACGTCTTGAAAAATAAATCAACACGAAAAACGCCTTCTTTTCTTAAAGTTTTGCGTTTAAACGCGAAAAGAGCGCTGTTTTTTTTAAACTTTGGATTAAAACGCATATTTTCTCGAGTTTTTTTTTCATGGGTAATACATAGTTTTAATGTCAGTTAAAATTGAACTTTATTGTCGTTGAAATATTTAATAGTCAATCGGATTCATTATTTTTATGTTTTATGATGATAATACTTTGTATGAGTAGTGTCACATATCCCGAAATTTGCAGATGCGGCATCCACAGCGGAAGAAGTGGTCATGCACCACCGGAGAAGTATGATCTCCTTTAGAGATGTACATGTCCCACACCCGCACTTATAAAATACCTATCGTTTGGTTTTATTTTGCATTGAGAAAAAACAAAGAAAGTAACGAAGAAAGCATGCAAAAAGAACGTGTTGTACATAATAGGGCATGGATTAATGTAAACAAAACATCATTAAACAAAAAGAGTGACGCTCGATTGGTTTCGGTGAACGTTCTATGTTAGAAAAAGAGCAAAATTACCAACAATGATAGATACGAAGTAATATAACTTGCAGATACACAGTAAAACATAAGTATATTTTGATATTCACTGGCAAGTAATCCGATATTGCTGTCGATATTTTTATGTCAGCTATATACTTTTTTTATTCTCTACATCAATATAAATATTAATGGGGTCTACGAAAATTGGTCGATCTATAATTGACCGATATGAAAATTCGTAGAGATAAAAAACAATCGAGCTTAATTTAAAAAAAATGACCTTCGAAGTAAAACTTGCAATTAATACTAATAAGTTAAACGATAAAAAAGAACTTTCAAATCATCATAGAGAAATTACTCATCAAAAAGAGCACATATTTGTCTGAAATATGGGAATTGTTATATGCTTAGATTACTTCAAATAAGCTTATCATTTTTTTTTGATAACATCTATCACAACAAGCTAGAGTTCACTTGACCCAATAATGGTCAGATTAAAAGACTCTTAATACATCATATAAAAAGCTGATATATGTAAACGGAACACTACTATTTTTCACAAATGTCCACGTTTACATTCAGTACAACAGAAAAGAACAAACCTTTATTAAATTGTAAAGGCTTTGCTTATACTATCGATAAAGCAACTGACGATAAAACTTATTGGAAATGTGGACATGTTCGAAAATTTAAATGTAAAGGACGAATTCACACTAACTGTGCTCATACAACATTATTACATGAAAACGATAGTCATAATCATCCTGGTAATCCCGTTTCAACTGAAATTCGAATATTTGAAGAAAAAATTGTCATCGAGCACTTAATTCAAACGAAGCTACACAAAATGTTATTGATTATTGTCTCACGAATTTATCTGATCATGCTGTAGCTCGTGTTCCTGATTTTAAACATGTTAAACGAAATATTCGAAATCACCGAGTAAAAAAAGATTTGCCCGAAATTCCACATGATAAAACATTTAATGTAATTCCGGATAAATTAACAACAACAAAACGAAACAGTTTGTTTCTACAATTTGATTCTGATCCAGGCAATGATCGTATTATTATATTTGCATTAGCTGAACAACTTCAACTTCTTGAAAGTGGCGAACAATTATTAGTCGATGGAACCTTCAAGGTCTGTACATTTTTCCCGATGCTATTTAATTTAATTTAATAAATTAAACTCTTTAGGTAACACCATCGATTTTTTATCAATTATACGCTATGCACGTGGTTTATCGAAATGCTGTTTTACCTGTCGTATTCGCATTATTACCAAACAAACTCAACAAACTTATCGTCGTCTTATTGATGAATTATCAGGAATTTGCTCATTATGGAGTCCAAAATTTATAATGGTGGACTTTGAACTTGCATCAATAAATACATTCGGTGATAAATGTTCATATATAAAAGATTGAAACTAGTTTTCGTTTTCTTCAAGACTTAGGCTTCAGAACGAATTATGAACAAGATCCAGTATTTTCTCATCATATTAATCAAATTGCTGCTCTTGCATTTCTTTAACCGAAATTATGTTAGTCAAGGTTTTGATGACCTGTACAATTCATTACCACAAGTGTTACATCCATTATTAGACTATTTCGACGATACATATGTTGGTAGAAATCTTACACAAGGAAGAGCAAAACTGATGTTTGAAATCGAATTATGAAACATGCATCAAAGGACAACTGATCGTTTAATGCGGGCTAACAACTCAGCTGAGGCTTGTCGCCACCGCTTAAGTTCTATTATGCAATGTCAACATCCTACACTTTGGTCCTTTATTAATAATTTAAAAAACGAAGAACATTATCCACTGTCAATTGATCAAGCTGAATTGCGGTGAAAAAGTCGAACCAAATAAAAAATATTTTAAATATAGTGCACGACTACGTCATTTAATTATGCGTCCACTACCATCTATTCTACAACAATTAGAAGGGCTTGCTCATAATTTATGAATTCCTTTTTTTTCATGTCTTACTCTTGTTTGTCAATTATTCGTTTTGAGTGTGAGTAATTCTATAATTGTATCACAATAAAGGTAGAATTTATTCATCATTCTACTGAAGAGTATCAGTTTCTATTTTTGATAAAAACAAACTAATTATATTATTATACGTTTCTTCACCAATTTTCGTATCAGTCAATTTTCGCTCTCCCTGAAAAAATATATACAATAATCAGAATTAAACGTACAGTGTAAAAAAAGGGAAGAATAATGAACGCTTGCCCTTGATTTTTTTTTCTATAACCCTTGAATGGGTTATGCGCACGTCATATACCCTATGAAGGGTCCATGAGTCGAAGGGTTTGTGATCGTAAGGGTATATGAAGCTGTTTTAAGTGTTTTGTATTTCATAATTTTATTCAAAGTGTTTATTAATAAACGGATAGGTGTAGATTAATATACGTATTCCAACATCAGTTTATTATCCAACAATTAGGGGTAGATTATTATACGATTCATGCAAAACTAATCTTATTCTACGTCTAGGAGTTGATTATTCTCCACTTGCAGAAGAAGTATTTATTATAATACTGTTGAGGGTAGATCAATGTACGATGTCACCAAAAGGGTTAATTATTCTACGAACAGTTTTTGATTATGCTTCAGTTTCAGAAAAAGCGTTTATCATAATACCTGTGACGGCAGATTATTATACGATGTCGTAAAAGGGTTCATTATTATATGATGAAGGGTAGATTGATGTACACTATAGCAATCAATTGTATAATAAGTCCCATCTGTACTTGAGAAGAACACACCGACTTTTAAAAACGTTTATTGAGATTTCGTTAAATCGTCAAGAATTACGAGCCAAAAAATATTTATTGCATCAATAATTCATTATAGTGAGAAAATTACATGATCAATGTTTCTAGTTTTAGCATTTTATGTTTTCATCGCAATTTGTATTTTACACGCATTTTATCAGTGCAATTCACATTTTTAACACAAGGGTGCACTATTTTGGAACATCGAAAAAGCTTAAATTATGTATCACCGTAAGTGTATTACTCGATGCAACAAGCTGGATTCATCCACTAACCCAATTGCTGTGCTTATGAGTCGATAGATACGTGCGCGTGAGAGGATATGAAAACTAAAGTAGTAGATGTTGGCATGACACAATACATTTTGCTACAAGCAATCTAAAAGCGCTTAGTGTTCTACAGTCAAGCATAGATTATTTTATCTTTAATTTTGATGTATTTATTATGCTACGTTCAAGCCTCCAATTTCTGACATTGTCAATAGAAAGGTTACAAATCCTATAGTTTGATTGGAAATATACAGCTATACACGTTAAGATAAACTAGTACACAAAGTCAAGTTCTAGTTGCAAAAAGCCTTGTTTTTTTGGGCATGGTATTCAATTCTTTTATAGAAGTTGTGTAAGGTGAGTGACAAGATTATTTTGATTCAAAATCGCTGGAAAATTTAGTTATTCGGTGTAACCATAAATATGGTTGTTGCTAATTGATCTATTAAGACAAACTGGATAGAGGTGGAATAGCTTAGCGCCACTCTAGGCAATGATGTTTATTCGCTTCTTCACATATCCAGAGTGTAGCAACTTTATACATAACACACATATATATAGGAGATAGATAGAAGAGAGACAGGAAAGAGAACAGAAGGAGGAGGAAGGAGAATCATCCAAGTGTGTCATCAATATTGGCACATTCGGCAATTCTGAAAATTTTGTAACGTCGCGAATCGATGTGGCGATGAAAATTCATAAAATAACTAATTAATTCTTTGCAAAATATGAAGTAAATAATCGAATCATTAGCCATCCACCAGTTCACACCAACTCGATTTTTACAGGGCTATTCTAATAGCTAATATTATATTCTCTAAGAATTTGGAACAAGAATTGTAAAACTTATATGAGCCATTATCCCTTTAGATCGAATAATGATGATATGAAAACAATTTCAATAAGGATCCAAATTCGTCAGTAAAATAACTAAAGTGTCTGAAAACTAATTTCTGGTTTCTCAATGAAAAATCTATTTTTTTCCCAATGATTATGATAAAGTAAACTCTCAAACACTGTGATGAAATAATGATCACTTTATCGTAGGAACCGCTTACTTTAATGTTCACTTTAGTTTTTTTTGTTGAGAGTGAAGATTCATTTTCAAATAAAAATTATTTTGAGAATATCAAAAAAACTGAGTTAAGAGGAAAGCATGCGATGAATTATCGGCACTGTGTTCAGTGAAATCCAGAATTTGTCCGTATTTCAGTTGTAGCTAAGGTCTTCATCAAAAAGGTTTCAACTTATATCTTTACTATCAACATTATCATCATCATCATCATCAACATTATCATCATCATCATCATCAACATTATCATCATCATCATCATCAACATTATCATCATCATCATCATCATTTCTATATATTATTAAGGTACATTTGAATAAATGTAATAGTTTCTTTCACCTGTTAGCATCATAGAGCCAAATACAGAAAAAGTGAAAATTATAGCCTTTTGGATTAATTTGTTTTTATTTAAGACACATCCAAGACATTGTGCCATTTCTTCTTGTTCTTACGCGAAATATTTTATTTTGATGCTTGCAACATGCAACTAGAATCCTAACTTTATGATAATCAGACTTAGTAAGTCAAGGTTTGTTTCTAATAAGAATATTTATTAGGAACGTGTTATATTTTTAATTTTGTTACTAAGGAATTTCGAATCAGCACACAGATATTTTTGCATTATGTAGTCGATAAGTGTCTTTTCTACCGAATGATTTAAAATCGAATATTGCTTGCAGAGATGCCAGATGGGTTGGGTCGTCACCGCTACCCACCTGGTTGGGTCGTCACCGCTACCCACCTGGTTGGGTCGTCACCGCTACCCACCTGGTTGGGTCGTCACCGCTACCCACCGGGTTGGGTGACCCATGGGTCAACTCTAACCTAACCCAACGTAGTCCTCCGGCCATTCGAGAATTTTAAACCTTAACCATCGACCAAGCTTAACGTATGAACCCAATCGGCCAACCCTCGGGTTACCTTTGGGTTAGCCCATGAATAACGTATATTGTAAAATCATTCACAAAAGGGATTTTTTATGCAGATTTCTTTGTAACACAGCATAGGGTATGAATCATCTTTTCCATATTTATAATTGATTTAATTGCATAGTCAAACGAAAAAGACAAGAATCCGATTTTATCCTCTTATGATCTCTGCTTTATATCTCTTTCTTGTAATCTTCTATTTACTTCTTCCCTTCTCTGTTTCATGTCTCTTGTTGTCCTTCTGCTATAGAGGCAGATTTCGCTATCTTCTTTATTAGATATTTTTTGCCTTCTATATTCTTCGATTGCTGCTGTTCAGAATACATCTCGAGCGATTTCTATCATAATTTTACATTAGTACACCATGCTGGTTGAGCTCCAGGGCTAGCCTGTCCCGGGGGTTGTGACAACCCCCAATAATAGAAAACTTTTGTTTTTTTCAGTGCAGCCGAAAATTTTTTTTTGCGTTCTGTTAGAAAATTTGATACTCTTATTAGAAAAATCCGACACAAAGTCCCAATATTTGCTGCCTCGGGCCAGTCCTGTTGAGCTATTAGTTTTCAGGCCTCGAAATTGGGCCACTTTTTGATGACCCAACCCGGCCCAGAGCGGGCCTTGAGTTCTAATGACCCGCCCTGTCCGACTTATTTGACAAGTGCAAAGAAACTTCTTGTTATTAAAATTTATTCGATAAAACATAAGGTTAGTTTCGACTTCAAAGCGCTGAGAATATTATGATAAGCATAAAATTACTTCAAGCATCAGTTTCTGATGCAGAGATTTATTAAATCACATATTTATTTAATAAATAACCAAAGAAATAACACTAGCAATAACCATGTAAATAAATAGAATGAAAAGCTAAGCTTTCATCCAGAAAATAATTTAAGATTGTTCTTGACTGCCTTCTGAACCGATCGAATAAATAAAACATCTTCTACTATATCAGGATTTAATGAAGAACGTCGCTCATTAATTAATAGACCACCTGCGCTGTATTGTCTTTCCACGCATGCGGACGTTGCTGGCATCGAATATAAACGTCTGGCCAATTTAGCTAAATAAGGTAATTTATCTCGATGGTCCTTCAGGAAAATTAATGGATCTTGTACTTTATATTGATCAGGAATAGACATTTTCAGGTATTTGTCTAATTCGTCAACTGTTTGATTCGTTTGTATGCTACTGTTTATATTGATTTCACCGTCTTCTTCAGGATCGATAAATTGATCTTCGATATTGCGATGCTTTTTCTTCACTGGTTCCGAAATTACAGATACACCTTTATTCACTTGTTGTGTTCCATAACCATATAAATCAGTTATCGATTGACGTACAAATATGTGAGTTTTCATCTTTTGATAATCATTAACGTAAGTCAATTTTCGATAAAACGGATGCAGCAAAGCAGCAGCTGAATGCTTTTTATCCACTTGAAACATTAACATCAGTAATTTCTTTAAGCGTTTACGAAAAAAATCAGTTCCTTTGAACAAATTCGAAGCATGAATTTATAAGGAATTGAAAAAATGTTTTATTACCCTCATGCCGATCATCAATGATAATTTCGTCACCATTATTGCCAATGTCTTCACCTGATAGATGACGTTTTAATTTGTTCAACCCAACGTAGACTAAGTGCAACGTAGGGCGATCTCCATGTTGAATTAATGTAATAACATCTTGGAATGTTTTCAGTAGAACTACTAAATCTCTTAATGCTTCAATATTTATTCGATTGATATTTATTTTTTGTTTTTCAGCAGTAGTTTTTGTTGATAAAATTGATCGGACATGTTCAAGTGAAGCTTCAATTGATTGTAGAAGAGATGACAAAGAGACTCACCGGGTAATATTCGATTGTTGTAAAGCAACACCAGAATTTGTTTTGAATTTCATAGTTAATGCTGGTCTAAAAATAATCACAATAAATATTTCGTGTGAAAAATATTGCTGGGCAATTTAACGTATTTCACGATCGACTTTGAGGGTGAAATTGTATCAAGTAGTTCTTTTGATTTTGTTGGCAACGATAAAAAGTCTGTATTTGCTTCTTGATGTTTCGATGGAGAAGGTTTTTTTTATAAAGTTCATCATCGTCATCTGAACTGGTTTCTCCATCAGATGACTCAGGTGTAGAAGTGCGACGTTTTTTTGATACTGGTGTTGCTGTTGTTATAGCTTGGCATTTTTTTTCTGGCGCTCCTTTCACTTGATAAAATGCTTTTTGAAGGATATTATTCAATCGATGTCCAAAACAAAATAAGACATCTTGACCTTCAAGAGATTTTTTAATGTTAGAAACTCTATCAGATACAAATAATCATTTTTTATTGTCCAAATAAAAATCTAGATCAAACAACTTAAGTTGTTTTCTAACAGACTAAATAAAAAACAAAAAAACTTATCTTAAATGAGTAATTAGTAACTAACTCACCATAAAACACTTATGCCGGTTTTATCATTTTCATCATATTCAGCGCAGCGGGTCTACGAAAGTTGGTCGAACAAAAAATGGTCGATACGAAAATTGGTCGATGTGAATATTGATAGATACGAAAATTGATCGACAACAATATTAGTCGAGTTTAGTTAAAAGAAAACAATTTCTTTATTAAATGATGAACTGATATTAATAAAATAAAAAATGATAAAAGATGTTCGGAAAATGATAGCAATTTTGAAACAAAAAGGCATATCTTTTACACATATATGGGAATCGTAATAGGCTAAAGATTAACTCACAGGACTGTACTTTTTAGTTTTAATTATGCTTTAACACAGTAATCTATATTTCATATAATCCTAATTGGATTATGTTCGAAATTCTTGAATAAATTCTATAAAAAGCAGTAATACAAATCAAATCTAAACAATCATATCGCAATGTCAACATTCACCTTAAGTACAACGCAAAAGAACAAACCTCTCTTACTTTCTAAAGGAGTCAGTTATACCATTGACAAAACAACAAATGATAAAACGTATTGGAAATGTGAAGATGCTCGAAAGCTCAAATGCAAAGGTCGCGTTCATACTAATAATACTAACACAATACTACTACATGAAAATGATAGTCATAATCATAATGGTAGTGCCGTTTCAACTGAAATCAGATTATTCGAAGAAAAAGTTCGGGATCGCGCAATGAACTGCAACGAAGCAACACAAACTGTTATTGATAATTGCTTGGTCAATCTATCCGATAATGCTATTGGTCGACTCCCTAGCTTTAAACATGTTAAAAGAACTATTCAAAATCGACGTGGGCAAAACGGTTTGGCTAAAATTCCTCATGATAAGACTTTTGATCAAATTCCGGATCAGTTATCAACAACAAAAAGAAATACTGTATTTCTTCGATATGATTCTGGTTCAGGCAATGATCGAATCATAATATTCTCATCAACTGAACAACTACAACTTCTAGAAAATGGCGAAGAACTACTGGTCGATGGAACCTTCAAGGTTAGAATAGTCAATTGAATTTTACTTAAGTTTGCTCATAAATCAAGTTTTATAGGTTTCACCATCAATTTTTTATCAATTATATGCTATGCACGTTGTTTATCGGAATGCAGTTTTACCAGTCGTATTTGCATTGTTGCCTAATAAAACAGAGCAAACTTATCGTCGTCTTATTAACGAAAATTATCCGAGCTTTGCCCATCGTGGAATCCAAAATCTATCATGATGGACTTTGACAAGGCTGTAATGAATGCATTTGCTGAAAAATTTATAACAACAACTAATCAATCTACAATATCTGGCTGCTTTTTTCATCTTCAACAGAGTATTCAACGTAAAGTCCAAGTGAGCTATTTAGCTCTAGAGAAAAGCTGAATATCGAAGTTTCTTTCCGTAGGAATTAGGCTTAAAAACAAATTATGAACAAGATCCTGTGTTTGCTCATCATGTTAATAAAATTGCTGCTCTTGCTTTTCTTCCTTTAAATGATGTTGGTCAAGGTTTTGATGATTTTTTTAATTCATTGCCTCCAATATTACATCCATTATTAAATTATTTTGAAGACACGTATGTCGGCAGACATCGTCCGCAAGGACGATCGAATCCTTTATTCAAAATCGAATTATGGAACATGCACCAAAGAACAACTGATCTTTTAATGCGTACCAACAATTCAGATGAGGCATGGCATCGGCGTCTAAGTTCAGTTACTAAGTGTCAACATCCCACTCTTTGGCTTTTTATCAACAATTTAAAAACTGAAGAGCACTACATTTACTGCCAATTAATTAAGTTGAATGCTGGAGAAAAGATCCAGTCAAACAAAAAATATCTGAAGTATAGTGTGCGATTACGTAATTTAATTCAACATCCACTTCCATCTATTCTACAACAATTAGATGGACTTCCTCATAATTTATGAGTCTTATTTTGTAAAGCTTCTATGTTTGTGTTTATCTTACATATTTTTTATTTATTCATAGTTTTCTTTTTTGTTCAAATTGAATTTTCGTTGTTAATCTAATAAATTCAATTTATTATTGTATAATTCACGACTAATTTTCGTATCAGTCAATTTTCGTATCGCGTAATTTTCGTATCGACCAATTGACCGCGATCAATTTTCGTTCGACCAATTTTCGCTTTCCCCAGCGCAGCATAGATCAATAGTTTCAAGTTTACATTCATCGCTAACAAAAATGCATGTCAAACCAATATATGAAATTTTTCTATGTTTGTCTGACCATAAGTCTGGCGCAATGCATAAACAACCATCACCGGCTTGTTTTGGCTGATACAATCAGCTCTTCGGCATCAACTAATCCATTATATTTTTGACCGATTGAAAAATTCATCATTAAATTAAAAGAAAAATATTCACGTACCGATTCTTATCGACTCATTTATAATATCAATAAATCCTGGATCTTCTACTACAGTAAATGGGCTTATCGATGAACAACACCAAATGGCACACTTCTCTTTCATTTTTTCTTTGTCTTGACTTTGAGTAATACGTTTTTTAACTAAATACTTGTCAATGCCACCACTAATAACACCTTTTTGTGTACCACTAGCACCAGGAATTCCTAAACTTTTATGTTTAATCATATATTTCGTACTACCATCATAATTAAAAGTTTTCGAACAATTGAAGCACTTAGCAAAACCAGGAATAATTTCATGATTGCCATCAATTCGTATTTTCGCGGGGAATTCGAAATTATCCCATGCATCTGACTTGATTAATAATGATATGCTTTTTTTTACAATTAATTATTTGTGATCACTAGGAGCTTTTAAAAGTTGTTCGATTTGATTTGCTTAATATTCTTGGTTGTTCGAATTAGAATTACCAAGAGATGTATTTGATGATTCTTCTGTCAATAATTGTATATCTTCTGATTCTGATTCAAAATCAGACATGATTTGTACACCTATAATGTAGTATAAAGAGAGTTAGCCATTTAGAAAATATAAATTTGGTAAAAGAATAAAGTTAAGATCATTTAAGCATCAATAGAGAAAAAAATAAAAATAAAAATATGAAACTATTCGCTTCATATTTTAACCAATCCAAAATTATGAAAATGCATTGATAATAAGTGTGTAAGTAAAATTAATATCAGAATAATAAGTGACAGCTTTTGATGTTTCTAGAAAAATTAACGTTGAACTCGTTGTCGGACAGCCCGACTCAAATATTTGCCCGACCCGACCAGGTAAAATATTTTCGTACACACGCCCGACCCGACGGAAAAAATTGCTCGGGCCGAACCGGGCGGCCCGTTTGGATGCCTGATACATATACAATAGTGGCCAAGAGTCCCGCCCCTAGTAGAATTTTCTAGAAATTCTAGAACCTTCCATAAATTTTACATAAATATACAGTACTAATCACCTTCTGACCGAAGCCACTCTTCATTTCTCCTACATTGTTATTAATCATTAACTACAACATAACATTCAAATATGGCCTTACAAGTGTACCAGCGGTATGAAATTGCCTTTTTATCTCAGCATCCGCTAGGACCGAAGCTCAGCCATATGGCTGTAGTGAAGGCAGTTCATTGTGACAAAAAGACGGTGAAACGTTGGTTCAAGCGGCGGAAGCAATCAAAAGATTTGAGCGATGCACCTCGATCTGGGCGATCACGTGTAACAACTCCAAAACAGGATCAAAAAATTGTTGCACTTGCTGAACAACAAACGTTCGTCTCAAGTCAAGACATCGCGAATCAGTTGAACAATAACATACATGTCGAACTTGAAACTTGAATTCAACTGAAACTTCAAGTTTCAAGGGTGTGGGTGCCGGGGAAGGGAGATTCGCTTGTCTACACACACATATGTACCCTAATGTGGGTGCCGGGGAAGCAGTAGTGTCAGAGCAATAACGTCAAACTTGAAAGTTGAAAGTTGAAAGTTGAAGTTTCAGTTGAATTCAAGTTTCAAGTTTGACACTACTGAAAATCGTAGGTAAATATAATTGTTTTTATTAAAATTATTGTTTTTAGTCTTTTAGTTCAATTTCACATTGATGAATTCTAGGTAAGTAAAATCTTTGTATTTTAATTATTGTTTTATCCTTTTAGTTCTATTTGGAATTGAAAATCGCAAGTAGGTATAATTTTTTTCTTAGAATTACTGCTTTTAATGTTTTAGTTCAATATAGAAGTGAAAATTCTAGTTAAGTAAAATTTATGTATTTGAATGATTCTTTTTTTTCTTTTAGTCAATTTTAAATTCAACATCGAACGTAAGTATAATTTTTCATTAAACAATTCTTATTATTATTGTTTTAGTGAAAAAGCAGATTCATAATCATAGGTAATTATTACTTAAGAAAAATAATTTTAAAAATTTTTCTCAAATAGATTTGCTTCAATGGCGCATCAAACTGAACATGATTCTTGGCTAAAAGTAAGTTTCCCCGAAACCCGTTAGAAGGGTATTTGAAAGGGTTTAGTATCTTACTAAACCCTTCTATAAACCATTTTGAAGGGTTTATGAGAGGGTTTATTGTTTTCCTAAGCCCTTTCATATACCCTCCTAAAGGGTTTATGAATGTTTCATGTGCGAAAAAGAAGGCTTTGTGGTACGTTTCACATAGAAAAAAATCGTTAGTTACAGATATGAATCGACTGATGTATTGATGAGTTGAAACTAATGACTTAGTACTATATATCGGTATATTATTTTCGAATCATGCGCTTAATTAAAGGAAAAACAATAGTACCACAAAATGAGCAAAATGATGATCTTCGTCGAAAAATGCTATTTTGTGGTCTAAGAAAAACCATGATACTCTAAAAAGTTTTCTTATGAATTTTTTTATAGTAGGTCTTACAATAATGACACCTTGAATTAACGAAAGTTTTAGCTTGATTACCGCTGTTAACCTTGTCAGATAGGATATTTTCGGTGGCAGTCACACCGTGTAATTTTCACAGTCTGTGCGGGCTCAGAAATAACAGTCCTTTCGGATGCTTTCAAGCTGTATTCAATAAAATATGAAGCAATTTGAAGCAAGAAAGTATGGTCGTTTTCCTATGGAGAACTAATCGTCGAATACTAGTAACTTTCATAGAATATCTGCAATATTGCCCGTTTTATCACATAGCGGTCATCATTTTTTTCACTGAAAAATAGTACCAATTTGTAGAATTTTTCAAACTCTATCTAATGAGATGTTTTTTGACGTTTAAGTAAAATGTTTTTTGAATAATTATCACTGATCTCTTCTGATATATGCAGGTCGACTGCTTGTGTTTATCCTGCTAAGAAGGAGGTAGATGCAATTTCAGTAAAGCTATATGAATTTAGTATCAAAACGATCAGCTCGCTTTTCTGCGTCGTTCTGTGTATTTTTCGATACTGCCTATGATGAAAAAAAATGGGTCGCTTTAACTACTTATGCGTCTCCATTCTTTGGCGAAAATTGACTTTTTAGGATGAGGCGTCTTAATATTGAACCCAAACTCAAACTCACCACATCTAAACGGTTTAGATTAGCGTCATGTGTAGATTAAACTCGGCTGGAAAGCTCAAGTTGTGTCCGGGATTGGCATATGTCTACTTCCAAGCGTCGATTACTACAAACAAGACACAAAGAAAGTAAACGCCAAGATATTTGAAGACATTTCTCTTTTGTATTAAAAATAATCATTTCTTTAAATAAACAAAATAAAAAATTTTGCAAAAACGTTTGTAGATGTCCTATTTGTAATCATCAGATTATTAGAACAATATCTATGTAAGTCATGGGCACATGACAAACAAATTTTCAAGTAATGTTTAGAATGATCTTGCAAAAAGATTCTTATCATAGTTTGACTTATCTTTTAAAATAGAAACAAACATTAAATACAATTAATTCACCTATTCTTTGCATTGTCATATTTTGTTGCTAAAAAAGCAAAAAAGAACGAATTTTCATAATAACATTGCTTATTTCTAGCGGTTGTATCTTTGAAGAACGCTGACATAACAAAAAAATAACTACTATATATACCAGTGTAAAATTCGCTACTCTTCACTATTGTCCTTCAACAAACAAGCTCAAAATTTACAATGAAAGCTTTCATTGCTCTCTGTTTTCTTTTCGTCTGTGCCTACGCCATACCTACATTTGATACAAGATTAGATTCAGCATGGGCGTTATACAAGCGTACCTATGAAAAGCAATATACATCCAATGCAGAAGAAACAACCCGGTAAGAAAGAAACAGGGTTTTTTTTCTTCGTTATTTTTAATAATCGTCTTTATTTCTAGTCGATCAATCTGGGAAGATCATATTGCTTATATCAATAAACACAATCTTGAAACTGACCTCGGTTTACATACTTATACATTAGGAATGAACAAATATGGTGACATGGTATGTTTTCAGTAAGTTATAATCAAATCTTTGTACCGATATTTGTAGACCATCAAAGAATTTGTCAAACAAATGAATGGTCTCGATCTCAGTTTGAATGTCAGCTTTTCTGGTACTTGTGATCAATACGTTGCTCCAGCCAACTTCAAAAGACCAGATGCTGTTGGTATGTATTGAAGAAGATTATATGATTTGTACAAGTTTTTTTGAATTAAATAGATTGGCGTACAAAAGGCTACGTAACAGGGGTTAAAGATCAAGGTCAATGTGGTTCATGCTGGGCTTTTTCAACTACTGGTGCTCTCGAAGGACAACACTTTGCCAAAACACAACAACTTGTTTCACTCTCTGAACAAAACTTAGTTGATTGCTCAGGCAAATATGGTAATTTTGGATGCAGTGGTGGTTTAATGGATAATGCCTTCAAATACATCAAAGAAAATAATGGTATTGATACCGAATCAACCTATCCATATGAAGCACGTGATGATACATGCCGATTCAATGCCAGAAACGTTGGTGCCACAGATACTGTAAGTAGTTTTCTTTTTCTTCGCTCGAACAATAATAATTTGGCCTTTCTTTCTATAGGGCTGTAAGGACGTTAAACAATACAGTGAAGATGATTTACAAGATGCAATCGCCACAGTTGGTCCAGTTTCAGTCGCTATTGATGCTGCCCACACATCATTTCAACTTTATCGATCAGGTGTCTACAATGAACCAGCATGCTCAGCACAACAACTTGATCATGGTGTTTTAGCTGTTGGTTATGACAGTGTAAATGGACAAGATTATTATATTGTCAAAAATTCATGGGGTTTATCATGGGGTAACCAAGGTTATATCTGGATGAGCCGTAACAAGAACAACCAATGTGGTATTGCTACATTGCCCAGCTATCCAACCGTTTAAAAACTTCGTTTTTAATTTTTTCATGACTTTCTACCTATTTTCAATACATATATTTCAAAGTTGAAATTTGAATTCAATTATTCACACCTACACACATATCACAGTGATAAGTACGACTATGGACAGTCAGGCACACCATTTGACTGCCTCTCGTAAATATATGACTAACTCTATTTTACTGTTATTATCATTATTCTGATTGATGCTGAACGAAAGGAGACTGGACGATCGCACTTCTGTTCATCGTTCGAATACATAAGCTGAACAGATAAATTCACATTGATATGATGATGCAATTTTTCAATTATATCAGCAAAAATTAGCATCAGTTTCGGTTACTTTTAGGTAAGGGGATGGTTGAGGGTGATTAATAAAAGACTTTATATAAAAAGAATCAAAACATTACAAGACATTTCGTTGAGTATTTGTAAAGCATCTTATCATCCATATTCACCACGAGAACGAGTAGGCAGAAAAGATAAGCATAAAAAAATATAAGAAAAATTGAACTCTATTGAAAGACAAACAAATATGTATTACATTTAACAGAGCTAATTGTAATGAAATTTGATATGCAATTGAATCAATTTGACTTAAAATATCTAACTGAGGCGTTTAAACAATATGTGATACACGTTTTTCGGAACGTTGATTGTTTTTTCTCATTTTTGGTGGTTGGCCAGAATTTATTTGTAATATATCAGTACGAGCAACATTTTTCTTCACCAATTAATTTTCGTAAGAATACCCAGAGTGTTGGATGAGCACATTGAAAAACTGAATCAATTCGATGATGATAAGCTTCAGTTGAATTATTTGTTCTCATAGATGATGTTGTAGTTCTATTATGCAAGCTACACGAATGAATATCGAATGTAACTTTTCTTCTTGTGTGATTTGGTCCCAGCCGTTCCAAATCAGATTTTTCGAAAGATTATTAACTTCGAAATTAAACACCCTTGCCAATAGAAATTTCCTCGAAATAATCGATCATTTCTTGATAATCTTCATTAAGATCGATTGATAAACGTTCAAAACCTTTAATAACAACATTTTTTTCTAAAAATGTTAATTCATCAAATTTATTCCCTCGACTGTAGGAAGAGCCATATGAAAATAATATGTTTCTCTGTCTGTCTGTTTGTGGCAGGCCCAAAAATATTATGCAAGCTTTCCTTCGTTTTACACTTAACCGTCTTTTCATCGAACTTTCCTTAAGGTTAACAGGGTCGGGGAATCCGAATCCGAAGTCAGATTAAAAAAATGTTGAGTTCAGTTTTTCGGATGAAAGAAACATTTTTTTGAGAAAGAGTTGATATTTTATAAAGATTGACGAACGGAACTACCTGGTGGAATAAGTTATGTGGGCGAAATAAAAACAAAATATTTAATTGTAAGGAAATCATTTTGATCGTGACGAAATGAATGTGGTAACGGGCATACTTGACAGGGAAAATATGATTCAAGAATTTTAGGAACGGACAGGACAGAAGTAAAAGATATATGTACAAAAAGAATATTATGTCAATGGCTACTTCATCTAGCAGAAGATCACATTTAAAAAAAATATCATACACCTCTTTTTATGAATGTAAATAAATAAAATTGGGAAACTATGCGAAAGAATGGGCACAACCCCCCCCCCCTCCATTATGAGCTACGTAAGAAGAAGAAAAAACAATTCTTTAAAGAAAGAATATTACTGTTAGTGCTTGTGACTTGAATCGGCAAGAATAAAAAATAAATGAGACCAACGAATAGAAATTCCGACCGACATCGACATTGTGATCTCGAATAAGAAAAGCATCTGTGAAAAAATAATATTAATGTTTATTCTTGTTAAATAAATTATGAAATAAACAGTCGCATTCGAAAAGAGAACATATTTTATTTTCACCTTTAAGAAGGTGCTGAATAGTAGTCAAATGCATACGTAAAATGAAGAATATCTATATTCATCCGTATGGGCTGAATTAAATAACTTAAAATACTATCTATAAAAAAATTCTATCAATATGGGTCGTCATGAATTACTCAATGTAAATGAAAAAAAAATATTTTGTAAAATGAAAAACATGAATTTTTTGCTTTGATCAACATAGTGCTCTTTAACACAAAAATATATCGAAGAAAAATAATATAGCCATCCTTGTCGATATCAAGTTATTGACACAAAATAAAACAATATGCATAAAATATATTATCATCTGCTCTCAAGAATTAATTCTGATAAAAAATAGAAGATTGTATCGAAAGAAAACAATATCAATGTTTTTTCTTAGTCGATGTAATTATTTGGACTTGAAAAGTTTTGAAAGAAGAGGAAATTGATCTTTCCATTGATGTAATGAATGAAGTAAAATTTAAAGACTAATGCTATAATTTTATTGTGAATCTGTGTTCGTGCGAGTTGAGTCAGGTAATATAAGTTACCGTATTAGAAGCATATGCTTTTCGTAACATGATAGGGATCAATATGAATGATTATTCTTCTTGTGAAAGCAATTACGTAAAAGAAAATATTATATGTGAATACAGAATATAATTCTCTCTTTTCACATAACTATTTAGATATGAGCAAACCAGACATAAAAAATAATACTATTTAATATTTTTATGTGAATGAAGTGAGTTCGAATGAAAGAATATATTATAAACTAATTGATATCTGTATTTTATCAGATGAGCTTGTTACAATGAAATAAAATGTGTGCTTTTTACTTTTGATGTATTTATTGAAAAATGATGGTAAAAAGATTCTTACGAGCTGAACAATAAAACGAATTAGCAAGATTAATTAAAGATTATTAAAGCGGTAAAATGAGTTGAGACTATATTAAAAATTTTCAAAATAAAAAAAAGACAATAAAAAAATCAAATGAGATTATATGATAGCTAAACGTATATCATGCATAGAGAGAACCCTAATATATCTAAAACCAAGAAACTGAGATTCAATAAATCTTTCAGTTCACATGAATAAGCCTTTTTATGTGAATTTAGACTCCCAAATCTACAACTGTTGATGATGCAGCCGATGATAATTTCGGTCCTGGCAATGACAATTGTGTTTGTAATGCGGAATTTTTGCTGGCGAACACTGAGGCAAGTTCGATAAGATTATCAATAGACGAGCTGTTTCCCCTGCGCATGAGATAAGAAGGAATCGCACAATATAAAAATGGAATTGCTAATAAAATGATAGCAGCAAGAGTCATGTATATAAGCCAATTTTTTTGCATATCTTTCAACCAGAGTACTGGTACAGCTATTGTGTCGCTTCCACTCTCGATGGTTTTACCAACTGCTTTCAATGCTGTTTGAACAGGCGTATCAGCCGCTTTGGATAAAGCCGTGCCGCCAAGAATAATTTTAGCATTATCTCCTTCTTTGACATGTTGTTGAATCAAGGTTTTGGTACTACTACCTCCCATGTTTGCTCAAACTAGAGAATAATACGTAGTGATATTGATTTTGAATATAGTAATTTTTTTTGTTCGTATGAAACGATTAATGATATTTCATTATCTTTTATAGTGCATGAGGAGAAGAGGGAAGATGTTCGTTTTTCTTATCAGGTCAAAATAGCCATTTCGGTTGAAAATTAATGATAATGAATTTCTTTTTCTTCTGGAAGCCAGCAGATTTCATACTTGATAAGAATACAATCATATTCTATATTGCTGATAGAACATTATTGAGCCTGTTTATTTTTGAAAAAAAAATTGTTTTTCAGTTCAAATGACTATATGTTTATTACATACATGCATGCATAAAATTTCATATTATTTGAAAAATTTTTTTTTTGTGAATTGTTGAGCGACTTAAAAGACGCAGAATTTCTAAGACAGATATCCCTCCATATAATTGGAAATGTTGTTTGATAACGATGTTTCATCAGATACTGAATACTCAGTAGAATTGATTAACAAAATTCTGTTGAAATCTGTTTCAGGGAGTCGTTGTTGGTAGTGACGTTTTAAATACAGAAACAGGATCGGTAAAATAATAAAAGTTAAGACCAACATAATATTAATGATAATAACTGGATTATTGTTTATGACGTAACATTGATTCATAACTTCATTCAGCTGAGTGAAATGCTTTTTGAATACAAAGGCACCCTTCATTTCGAAAGTTTAAATTAAATCCTATGCAATTGCATAATATCTAATCAACAGTACTAACATTATATCTCAATCATCCGTCATTTTTTTGTAAAAAAATCAACTAATTTCCATTAAAATGTATGTTATAAATCAGTCGTTGTACACAACTGTATTTAATGAACTGGTTGCTCACTTTCACTATTTCTAGGAAAACCGACGATCACATATTATCAAATGTCTTTTAGATTCTATAAAATTATGATGATGTAAAAATTTCCTTGTAATTGGAACTATCAATACTCTTAAATATAAATCTTTTTAAGCTAAAAATGAATAAAGCATTCCGTTAAAAGTATAGCAAAATATCGATTGAATTTTTTTTGTATAAAAAAGATTCAAGTGTATCATGTTTCGATGAATTTTGAAATTTGATACGAACTATTGCAAATGGCAATAAATAATTTTGGAAAAAAATTAAGCATTGTTGTCCATTATACGCATATCTAGGTCATAGGTAGATTCATATGTGAAAAGTCAATTTAAATCTATCAATACGTTGATCATACATAACGATGAACGAGAGATATTGAGAGGTGAAATCTACATTTTGTCATTTCTATTTTATCATTTTCAATGTTAGATATCATTTTTAAGAAACGCTACGGCATTTAATCTATTATAGACTCTACTAGAATCAATTTACCTAACATATGTTTATCATATCTAACCAGAAACTCGGATCAGTACAGGGCATTTTTATGGCCTGTATCACACTCTCTTATTCATGATTCGACTTGAATTGTATATAAAATTGTAGCTCTTATAATCCTCTATCTAATGATACATCAAAATATGAGAAAATATTCATCTGGCTTTGACTACAGAGAAATATTATTGACCACATTTGCCGATCAATACCCCAATAACGATTTATGGTCTCATAGAATATCGTTATACCGATGATTGAAAATACTCTATATATAATTCGATAGAGCGTTTCAAAACATATCAAATGATAATAAGAAAATTTATAAAAAAAAGATAATCGGTAAGGGTATCCAACTTTCTAAATATTCAGTTATAAATAGTGTAAAAAAAAATTAATTACATGCATATGTTACACTGATAATATGTCTCACTTTAAGTTGAAAAGTTCATTAGTCCAAACTACTCTATAAATTTATTCTTTTGAAAATAATCGGTGAATCATTAGGTTCTAGGAACAAGTAAAATAGACGTATATCTGTAGTACATGTGAAAAGAACATTGTAATTGACGTTTTTAACATAATTTTGATACTGATTTTGTTTCTGGTTAATATAGCTGAAAAAAATAAACGTTCAAATGATATCCGGTATTTAGTCGTTCTGATTTGTACACGATCACATGGTAAGAAGAATATTTGAATAATTGAATGTTTCGGATATGCATGGCGTATGACAATTTTATTGTTTAGTGAGCTAATGATAAAAAGTAGTGCTATATGTTAGCTTGTTCTTTGGATCGAGTTAAATGTAAATATTTGATTTAATTGAAAGGTTCTTGGAAGACTGAATATCGCTTGGCGATTAGAAAAATAGATCGGATTCGTACATACACCTTTTCAACTGGCTAATTATCAAATAATGATATGCGTGTAAATAATTTATAACAGTGTTTTTAGCATTCAATCTTAAAACAATATTTAATTCATCACTTCTTTTTCAAAAAGAAGAAGCAGACTCTCAATCATTCAATAATTCTTTTTGTTCGTCTGAATAACTGAAGTACATAATTTTTATTACGTTTTTTGCTCCTCTAATTTGATCAAATATGTTGAAATGTATTTGAAAGAGGTAAACAGTAGCAGGTTCTTTTCGTCAGACAACAAACACTGAAAAGATTGACATTACTTCACTAGTGATTCAAAAATAGTTTAATCAATATTAAATGCCATGTTGCCATTAGTAATGCTTTCAATTTTAATAAAGCGATATGTTTTTTTAAATATTTTGAGTAATGCATCACTTGATTGATAAAAATTAAGTTCATTCGATATTGTTCAGAAATATTCTCCATGAGCGAAATGTCAATATTCAAAAATACTTACTTCAAAAGATCTACCTACAACGAATCTATTATAGAGCTCGTTGAGTTAAAGTTTTTTAGGAGATGAAAGCTTAATGTTTAGAAATGCACGATCTTTTGTTGAATAAATAAAATTAATGCTTGATTTGATGACAAGAACTAATACTATTTTTGACGTATAGTATTTAGAATTTGAGAAGTAAGTGATATATTTGTTGTCACTGCGTATCTGGCTTGCTGAAAGAATAATTTCAAAAAAATATGCAGAATTTTCATCTTTAACAGATTTCTGGAGAAAAATAGAATTTCGTATGTTAATTACTGCTCTTTAATGCATTAGTTTTTGTTGAAGCAGCATCCAATTACTCGTCAAAGGAGAGATAAAATCAATGTCTTTGGAAATACAATTGGAATTAGAAAAACGAGTTGTAACACGTGAAAGTAGAAAAGGCAACAAGGAACTTGTCAACCTGTTGCTGAGAATAATTCTATAAATTTATATTGTTTAATCTTCCTGACTTTACAGTTGTCATCCCAAAGAAAAGTAATAAATATATGAATAAAATTTCATCCCATTATGTTACTATTTCAGCGCTATTCAAAAGGGTTCGTTGTTTATGAAATGCATTATGCAAAAAGTTTACTCTAACATCCTCAAGAGTATTATTTAACTTTTTATGCAAACATAAAAATTTAAATAAAATGCTATGATTGTTCCAGCGTAAATGGAGTTTTACAGTGTTCTGAAGTTTTTAAAGTAGTATTGGCTTGTAAATGAGCTAGCTCATATAAGAACGGAAGAAAAAAATTGAAATATTCTTCAGCTAATCATTAATACAATGGTACGAATATAAAATTTACAATTATTTTTCACTATTGCTTGTGTATAATCTTTTCAACAATACAATTTTCTATGAAATGACTATATATAATTCATTTTTTCATAGAAGCTGATTTCATTCACGCAACATCGACTGTTTTAGATAATAAGTTATATACATACTGCTTCAAGCTAAAAATGAACGCTCGATACATATTTTGTTTTGTGCAATGTATGAGTAGCTGTTGTTAAAGATGCAATCAAATGACTACTGGTCAAAAATTTGCACGATTACTTCAGTACCTAGGAAAATGTTCTGAAAGTATAATGTATCATGACGAGATTGTTTCTGCTGTGCGATGGATTGGACAAGTAAGTTTCATTTGAATAACACTTGAACTATTAACAATTTTTTTATAGATTGAATCAATTATGACACGAATTCATTTTCATCCAAATCAAGTTTTTGATGAGTCAAAATATGTCATAGATGTAGTAGCTAAGGAATATCTTGAAAAAGCTACCGATAATGTTGATCATCTTATTCCAGTCGAAGTCAGTGGGGACGGAAACTGTTTGCATGGGTCTATTCTTCTCCTAATGAATAATCCAATGGTGATGACAAGCGAATTGCGTGGTATGTAGGTTTATTTTTAATGCGCTATTTGATAATCAACTTGAAACAACTTTCTTTAGTTCGAACAATTATTGAACTTATGACGAATGAAGTTTACTATTCAAATAGGTATTCACAATTCGTTGGACCACTTGATATTACTATTCAAGGCATATGTAAAAATCATATGTTTTCCGAATTGTACGAAATTGGTGCTTTATGCAGTATACTTGGGTGTAACATACAAAGTATTTATCCAAATATTGATTTTCGAGACGATATGGTATTTCTGAATAACATATTTACATCTATTCCATCTATAACTAGTAACTGTGAGATAACAATTTTGTGGTCCCATGCCAAGAATGAAAAACATGCTCGTGAAGCAAATCATGGCACATGGAGTTCAAACCATTTTGTTCCTCTCATGTCAACAGCTATGTCTTTTGAGTTTGATGATAGCAATCAGTCAACATCAAATGGTTTGCTAGGTTATTACCAATAAACGGAAATTCGAGAAATTTCGATTTTCTTTAGACCCCTGAAAAGAAAACATTTAAGAACAATGCTGCTGTCCAAATACGAATTCCTGAATTTCAGTCTTCCCCTAGTAGACGTTTACGAAGTGAAATCAACATCGAAAATAACTCTGCTCAATCAATAATTTCAACTACAATACAAAGAGAACCGAATGACATAGAAAGTCAACATCAAAGTCGACTTAAGAAGAAAAGAGTATGCTCGTTCCAGTCGAATGAACGAGACAGATGATCAACGTCAAATAAGACTTGAAAAGCAAAAACATCAAAGCCAATCGAGACGAGCGATTAAGACAGAAGAACAACGTGACAATCGTCTTCAGAACAACAGAGAACGAATACGATCGATTCAGGCTAATGAAACAGAAGAACAACGTCAGACTCGAGTCGGGCAACAAAGGGAACGAAGTCAAACAAATAGAACTAAAAAGAAACTTGAAAAACACGCTTCTGATAACATTGTTGTCGAACCACAAAACATCGATATGCAGTTAAATGAAACGGAAGAGCAAGCACATTGTGATGATGACAATATGACCGATCTTACACAAAGCAAAAATGCCACAAATACAAAGAAATGTTCCATTTCTCCGTCTTGGCCAGAAGCGATTTCTCGTGGCTTGAAAGAGACACGTTTGCAACGTCCGTACGGCAGTAAAAAAATCGAAAAAAATACTGATCTCAAAAATTCCTAATGTTCATTTACTTGAAGTTTCCAACGAGCTCAAAGACTTAATCATAAGCACTCAGTCATCAACGGCACAAAATTTCAGCGGTATAAATATACGGACGGCTGAACATGATCAAAGTAATATATAGTTTTCAAAAGTAGAGAATTCATATTTTCGCCTGCCAATAATATGTGGTTAGGTGATGTGCCTACTGAATTGCAAGGGCTTACAATTCCTGAAGAAAAGCTAATATCACTTTATCGTCACAATAGCTGTGTGATAAAACTTCATTCCCCATTTCATTCTACTACAACTGCTCAGTCAGCATTAAAGGGAAATTGCA